ATTTTAATAGACGAAACTTTTATGTATAATATTATAATAATTTTTTTAATTATGTATTTTAAAATAGTGATATCAAACTATTAAATTATTTAATAACATATCAATTTAATTCAACACATTTACCACTATAATTATGCATTACTTTTTACTTTTGTTTTGTGTCCTAATTAACTTTTAAAATGACTTTAAATCTTTAATGTATCTAAGTTAATACTTTTCAATTATCTATACCTTCCATTTATTTTTTTAAAAAAGTTTTTTTTCCCCCATTATTTTCAAGTATATGGCATACATTTTATTACAGTATTAGATACTAGATACTCCGTACTAAATATCAAATTTCTTGCAGTTAAAAATATGGATGAAATATGAAATGAAATGATTGACAAAAGTTGATGTGATGTACAAAAGTCATGTCTCTTATAATAAGGGTCATTTTGTCATTTTCAATCTAGACACATGATTAAGGGTTTATTTTAAGAAGAATGATTGATTTATTAATTTGAGTAATAATATTTCCGGATATGATACGCTGTAATTGATTAATTGTCAAATTATAATGTTCATTAATTGAATAACTAACAAATTATAGTGTATAATATTAAAAACATTTTTTACTTTCAAAATACCTATATAGCGTTATTCTAATTTTGCTTTTTCATTGTTGACTATTGTGTTTTTTATTTTTAAAGTATGGAGTTCAAAATCAATCAAATTTTATTTTGAATTATGCTAGAGGTTCTTACAAAAATTCCTACTCATTCCGTCCCATTTTATATGTCAGGTTCAATTAACGAGACTTGGCTAAAATTATTTACGGAGCACAATTTAATTTTTCATAATATTAAATTTAAAATTAGTATGTAAAATTTATGTATTTATAAACTACGTTAAAAGTACTATTAAACACAAAAAATCAAATTTAAAAAGTAGAAGAAAATATTAATAAAATAAGCAAAAAAAACAATAGTTGGTTTGACCAATAAATAGTAAGTATGCCATATAAAATGGGACAGAATGAGAACTTCTTTGTCAATGTCAAATATAATCCTTAAGTGACTATCCCAGATGGGAGGTCAAGGGTTTGATCTCCAGTGGGGACATTATTGACTCTTTGTGTTCAGTAAGTTGAGAATGTAGTTATGAACCGATACTACATTATAACATAGTCAGTAGTACCAAAAAAAGTCGAGATTTAAAACAAATAAATAAAAACTTTATGTTTCCTCAAATTGTGACATTAGGGAACGGAAAATTTTAATGAATTTTATAAGGGTCGGAAACATTTTCCTTTTAGTCTCGTTTGTTTAAAAACATCTCAAATTCATTTTAAAAATATGTTAATTTTAGAAATAACATAATTTCAGTACTCGAATATCTGTATAATCAATTTTAAATTTCAAAAAAAAAAAAAGAGAAAAAAGAGCAAGTTTTCAAAGGGTTAAAATTGAAATTTACTATTGTTAATTTCTATTTATTTAAGAGTCATGTCTAATCTACGTACATTACTTGTATTGGCTAAAGATTAGAATATAATCCAAAGTCCAAACCATCATTATCTGTATCTTTTTTTTTTCTTTTTAAAAAATCGATTTAATACGTATGTATCTACTTGTATTTATTGTTTATGGAGTGGTATGGACTATAATTAGTGGATGATTTACTTGAAATTCAAACTTTACTAAAAATAACATGGGAATAAACTATAAAGTATAAAAGTGTAATTTTCACAAGTTTTGTTTTATTGTTTATAAAAAAAAATAATAAGAAAGTTAGTAGTAATTAAGTGTTGTGGATAAAGTGGATATGCTTTCTGCTAATGGCATCAGACTTTTATTTTTATTTTAAAATTTGGAGTGGAATTGCCCCTAACTTCAGTTTTTATCTGCACAATTAAGCTCAATGATCTAGTATGCCGTATTTGAAAAAAGAAGAAAAGAAAGAAAATTTTTCCATACGTTTAAAATGATTAATATGTGAATAAGAAATGATCTTTTAAAATGTATTTGTAAAATTGAAAAGAAGATTTTTAAAAGATTCTATATATATATATATATATATATATATATATATATATATATATATATAGATTAGCGCTCAAATGCGGCAGTGGCTTTAGGTGTGGCGGTGCGGCTATATCAGCATCGTCCATTTTGCTTAATCTAACGGCAGCGGCTAATTTCTGAAGATTTAAAGATTTAAGCGCGTCCTGATAAGTGGGGGGTGTTATGGTAATTGTAGTGGTCATTTATATCGGTCGCTTGTCAGAATACACCAACAGTGTTAACAAAAGACACCAATAGTGTTAGGAAAAAGCACCACAATGAAATGCATAAATACACCAAAAAACACACAACACACTCAAAAAATACACCATATAACTCACCACCCCAACGGTGTATTTCTGAACACTGTGTGGTGCTTTTATTCATACCTAATGGTGCGTTCTGGTGATGCATATCTAATTTGTGACATGTTTTTTTGGTGTGCATTTTCTAACATGGATGATGTATTTTTGTATAACTATTAGTGCACCCGCACTGACCGCATGGGAAGGCGCGGGCGCACCTAAACTTGGCACCAACACGAATCCTCAAATACGCCACAGTAAGGTTAATAATGCACCAATAACGAACATAAAACACACAACACTATGATTTGATCTATTCAGGTGCCCAATGACGACTTTAACCTTGCAGTTCGCGTAGTGTGAGAACGTGCGAGAAAATATCGGAAAAGCCTGGATGAATGTGATTTGTTGAATTTATCTTATCTAATGGCCTATATTTAACCGCACCGTCGCACCTAAGCGCACTGCCGCACTTGAACCTTCCTCTCTCTCTCTCTCTCTCTCTCTCTCTCTATATATATATATATATATATATATATATATATATATATATATGTAAGGGATCGGGTGCATTTGTGGCTTTTCGTGCGGTAGATTAATGTGTGTGAGTCGCGTGCTTAATGTGCCTGAGATTTGTACTTAATGTGGGTGAGTTTTGTACTTAATGTGCCTGAGTATTGTGCTTAATGTGCGTGATGTTTGTGCTTAATGTGCGTGACTTGAGTTCATAATTACGAGCTCAGAAGGAAGCAGAGAACAGAAAGAGAAGGTGGGTGAAGCTTTTCTGATTGTGTGTGAATGGATGGATATATGTAAACGCACATATGACTGTTCTGATTTTATGTTAAATAAGACAAAATCCATTCCTCCACCATTTCGAAATAAAAAACAAGAAGAAAATGAAGCAGTGGATGCACATAATTTTCACAGTAGTGGATGAAGAACACACCCACGCACATTAATCACACAACTCACACATCTTAGGCACAAGACTCACACACCTTAAGTACAAAACTCACGAACATTAACATTACACACCCACACACATTAAGTACAAATCTCAGGGACATTAAGCACAATACTCACGCACAAGTACAAACCTCATGCACATTAATCAACCGCACAACCGCACGGGAAACTTACACTATATATATACATATATATATATACACACACACACACACACACACACACACATATATATATATATATATATATATATATATATATATATGTTGGTGGTAAGAGAAACTCATAGTTACTACTTAAGACTGTACACTATGTAAATTTTGTAATACACAAATCACATATAAGAAGTAAATCCCACTAAAAATAACGACATGCTCATATTGAAATTTTATTAATGAAGTTTTGTCTTTAATATTTTATTTATTTTCAAAAAAAAAAAAAACAATAACATCATCATATGATATTTTTTTTGGTCGAAATCATCATATGATAATGGTGTTGTATTCACACCTCAATTTATTTTTAGAGTTTTGAAATAATAGATTGTAATTGTGAGGAATTGCTAGTAAAATAATTAATAATTGTAATTACTTTACTCTATAATAAATATTATATTATTTTGGGAACTAGCAATCTGCATAGGGTTTGGTTGCTGAAATCGAGAAATGAAAAAATAGGAAAACTTAATAACATAAACTACGAAACAAGTGAAAAAAAAAAAAAAACAGTATACATTAATAAATATTTTTCTTTAAATATACATAAATATTACTCATTGCTCTCATTTTATAAATCTGTGAGAGAAAACGTTGTGGAAACAGAAAAATGAATCTTGTAGAGCGTCCGTGCAACATAAGTGCAGCGTGTTGTGCAAAATTATACAATTTATTTAATAACTGTATTGATAGTAGTTGATGTTCAATTATTTTTTTCATTTTAAGATATAATGAAATATTCTTCTCTGAAAATGTTGAATCCCCAACCCTAAAAGTCTCCATATCTTGATCCAACAGAGCATTTGAGAGAAATTACAGTGACTCAATGGCTCAACAGACAGGTCAATACCGGTGCACACAAGAAATCTGTCCACTTGGCTCAACAGACAGGTCAAATGCCCATAGCATTTGAGAGGAATCACGATGACTCAATAGCTCAATAGACATGCCAAATGCCGGTGCGTACAAGGAATCTGTCCATTTAGCTCAATTGACAAGCCAAATGTCGGTGCACACAAGGAATCTACCCACTTAGCTCAACAGACAGGCCAAATGCCCAGAGCATTTGAGAGGAATCACAGTGACTCAATGGCTCAACAGACATGCCAAATGCCAATGCGCACAAGAAATCTGTCCACTTGACTCAATAGACAAATCAAATGTCGGTGCGCACAAAGAATCTGCTCACTTTAAATATAATCCCAACACTATCGCTGTCGAAGTTTAAACATGTCCACTTCAGACATAATTCTTATATTACTGTCACCGAAGTTTGAACCTTGGTAAGCCCGTGCGGGATAAAGATATGAAATATTAATTATATATTTGCTTGACATATAAGTATATAATAACTGTGATTTTATTTATTTATTTCCTTACACAATAAAATATTATACATAAGAGAGAACATCATCATCATTTTCTCAATAATATATACAGAAGGATTTGGGTGCGGAGGAGAGATTGGTAATTTAACGGAGCATCCTTTACCCGGTCGATGAAACTGACCTCTCCGGAACTCCGCCCTTATTTTCTCTCTCTCTATCTCTATCTTCTATCTCTATCGTTTCTCTGTCTAGAAAAAAAACATCAATCAAACATTACATACATAAACGAGAGAAATCCAAGAGATACTTTCTCTCACTATCTCTACTCTACTATATACTCAGGAGTAGACTACTCCTTTCCTTCTCACTCTCACTCTCCACTCACAGCTATGGATACTTACGAGGCTACTAAGATAGTGTTCTCCAGGATTCAAAGCTTGGATCCAGAAAACGCTTCAAAAATCATGGGTTATATACTGATTCAAGACCAGGGGGATGAGGAGATGATAAGATTAGCCCATGGCCCCGATGCTTTCCTGTTTTCGCTCATCAATCAAGCTAAAGATTGTCTGGGACTGTCTTCTAACTCTTCGTGTTCTTCGCATTCTACGCCTTCTTCTCCCTCGCCTTACAGTCCCACTAAGTTTGGTCCTTTTCCCCAGACTTCGCCCAGGATCACGATTCCCAACAATGGGTTTCCGTCGTCTTCTCCGTCCTCGCTTTGGTCGGCCGGTTCGCCGGCTTTTCCCAGGAGCCCTCTTTCGTACGCGGCGGTGGTTAACGGTTCCGCGAACCCCGCTTCCTCTGGGTCTTCTAGCTCCCCTTCTCATGCGGGGTTCTACAATGGGGACGCCGCCGATCAATTGGCGTTTCTGGATGAGCCGTTTGATGCGATAATGAGCCCCACCGGCAAGAGCGATTCGCTGATCTTTCCCTACGAGGAAAGCACCGACCAACACCAGCTTCACCGGCGGCGCTGCTCCGTTAGCGATGGGTTTCTGGGTGGATCGGACGACGGAGGCGGCGCCGCCGCCCCCAATGGGTTGGGTTTACGGCCTTGCATGTACTTCGGCCGAGGCGTCTGCAAAAATGGGTTTTCTGACTCCGGCGATGGGTCGGGTCCGGTTTTCGGTTCTCCCAGCAGCAAAATCGATGCTTCCTTCAATGAGCTTGTCCGGATGAAAGCTCTTCAGCAGCAACGATTTGCCGCCGCCGCCGCCTCGCCGTTCATTGCTTCCGGCGCCCACCATCCTTTCTCTTACAACAAATGCATGAACATTTTGAACGATAACCCGAGGTATTTTGTTCAATTCACCTTATTTCTGCCTCCATTTAGTTATATCTGGAATAAAGTAGTTAACTTTATTGGATCATTTATTATGTGGCTTCTAGACCTAGCATATAATCTTTAATATATCCAGTTCCATTCATCTCTGTCTACTTTTCTTGAGCATATATGGCAACTAAGCTTGCTAGTAATTCATTTCCCCATGCATATTGTGTTTTTTGAAATTTTTTATTTGTCCTTCATTTCAGCATTTCTGCAGTGTTTGAAACTGTTCCTAATTTGGTTTGGCAAATTATTCTGTGTGTGTTTTTATGGTATGCCTTTAAGAGATGATATTAGATTCAGACCGTTTGGAATGGGTCTCTGATCATGTGGAATACTGCTCAAAAGTGTTGGATTTGGAATTGGAATTGGACAGCTTTTGAAACTGAAACTTCTGTTTATGGATTATTATCTTTCTTTGATAATCCATCCTTTTTGCTATTTGCTGCAACAATGCAGGTCGGCGCCAGCTGCTTTGATGATGGGCGAAGATTTTCGGAAATTTGGGCGGTGCAGGCCCGAGACTAATGACTATTCCGGGATGGGTTTGGGTGGATATTCGAACTCTTGCTCGAGGCAAATTTACTTGACGTTTCCTGCTGATAGCACGTTTAGTGAAGAGGATGTTTCGAATTACTTTAGGTGTGTGTGATTCTTGATTGGTTAGAGTTTTTGGAATTCTTTGCTTTAAAATTGCGGTTTATTGATTGAATGGAGCGTTGGGAATCTCTTTACTTGCAGTTTGTATGGGCCGGTGCAAGATGTGAGAATCCCGTATCAGCAGAAGCGGATGTTTGGTTTCGTTACGTTTGTCTACCCCGAGACTGTGAAGCGCATCTTGGCTAAGGGGAATCCGCATTTTGTGTGCGACTCTCGTGTGCTCGTTAAGCCCTACAAGGAAAAGGGGAATATCCCGGACAAGTATTTACTCGTGTTAATTCTATCTTTCCCTTAATTGTGTGTGTGTGATACTGACGTTTTGAGTGAGTGTAATATTTCGTTCTTGATTGGTAATGTAGAAAACAACAGCATCATATGGATAGAGCAAAGTTCGGGACATGCTTGAGCCCGTCCGGTCTTGATTCGTTGGAGCCCCATGACCTTCCTTTCGGTAAGCACTTGAAATTTGCGGCTTTTTTCTTTCTTTCTTTCTCGGTAGTTATATATATTTGCCTATGGTCTTTTTCCATATAGGACCGAGAATGTTTTATAATTCACGGGAGGCGATACTCAGAAGAAAATTGGAGCAGGAGGCTGAGTTGCAGCAGGCGCTCGAGCTTCAAGAACGAAGGCTGATGAATATGCAACTTGTGGACCAGAAGAATCATCCGAATTATCATCACTTCCAGCCCGGCGGCTCATATCCCGGTATCCCGGTTCCTTCCATGAGCAACCCGCTATCGCAAAACAATCAGGTTGTCCTCCTAGACAATGTGAAGCTTCCGCCCTGGGAAGCGGGTGAAGTCCAAGAGAATGACGGTGGAAACGAAACTAGCAAGGAACCGAGCGCTAATCATGATGACCCGGAGCTAAACAAGAGGTATTTATTAGCCGTTCTTTCTCGAGTTTAGCTTCCTTTGTGTGGTTGGTTACTCTCTAATGATTCGATCTTGGCGTTTGTCATAAAAACAGCATGGAAAACATCCTTCCCGACAACCTTTTCGCTTTCCCTACAAAATCCCCCGCTGAAAACCTCCCTCCGTCCCCCGCTCCCGCAAATGCTGATGATGATAGCCCCTCGGATACACCTTCTAATGACATCCCCGCGCTCTCTGCTACCTCCACCCTCAACATGGCGTCTCTTCAATCATGCGCCCTGAAGATGCCAAAGTAATTATTCATTGCTTTCTTTTCCTATTCCCGGGATATAAACACTCGACATCTGAACATTTTGGATTGTTTGCCACCAGGTTGACTTCCGGCCAAGAAGCCATCGAAGTGTAGGAAGAAGTTCGATCTGGTCGATGGTTTATGGTTTAAAGTAAATCGCTCTCCCCCCCACTCTACCATTATCATTATTATTTAGCAATTAGCGAAAAGATGATTGTTTGGTGATGGTTGGGCACTTGGTTTGAAATGCAGAGAAAGCTGACTTGTATATCCATAACAGAAGAAAAGATCTGCAAGGAAGATCTGTTTCAAGACTGTTTCATCATCATCAATAGGATATTACTGGCAAGGATACATAATGCATATGTATAGGACAGATGAAGTGGTTTAATATAAGGGAGTAGGATCCCTCTGTCTATTTTGTACCCTCTTTTGTAGTCGTGTGATGGACCACACACCAGAATAGAGCATCATAACAAACAAAAACTCAGTAGTAGCCCTAGTAACTTTATATTGTCCTATAATGTTTAGTATACTGTATAATTTATATTTACCCCCTCCTCCTTGCCCTCTTTTTACCATCATCTTCATTTCATGGCAGTAATTCCTACAGTACAGTCATACTGTATTTCACTCTGCAGATGCATAAATCTCAGGTCTGAAAACCACACCATCCACCATAAATGTAAAACATGATTGTATCGCCTGCATGGTAGCTCAGTTGGTTCTTGGATGGCAGATTGTGGGTAATGATGTAGGATGGAGTTATGACAGTCACAATAGGATCGAGTTATGACAGTCATTTGTTTCACTCGGGTGGCTCCTTGTGAACACTAGGCACTTGGTTCTTGGATCGCAGATTGTGGGTAATGATGTAGGATCGAGTTATGATAGTCATTTGTTTCACTCGGGTGGCTCCTTGTGAACACTAGGCACTGACTCTTCTACCTAATGGGCTGTCGAGTCATTGTGGAGTTTTACCTTTTTGTGGAGGTGGCTTCTTGTGGACACTAGACGTTGGTCCTCCCACCTAATAGGTTACTCAGTCAGGGTGATTTACCCTTTCCTTTTGTGGGGGTCGTTGCTTGGCTTCTTGTAGACACTTGACGCTGGTCCTCCCGTTACTCAGTCATGGTGATTTACCATTTTACCCTTCCTTCTTGTGGGGGTTGTTGCTCGGCTTCTTGTAGACATTGGACGCTGGTCCTCCCACATAAGGTTACTCAGTCATGGTGATTTACCATTTTACCCTTCTCTCTTGTGGGGGTCATTCTTTGAGGACACTACCATTTTACCCTTCCCTCTTGTGGGGGTCGTTCCTTGAGGACACTAGGCACTGGTTTTCTCACCAAATGGGTTGCTAAGTTATTGTGATTTACCCCTCCTTGTAGGCTAGCTCCTTGTGGACATTAGACACTGGTCTTCCCACCTAATAAGCTGTTGAGTTATCGTGATTTACTTATTTATAATCCTGTCACCTTGAATGTAGACTTATATTTACATGAGTGGTTTCCCTGTCACCTTGAATGTAGACTTATATTTACATGAGTGGTTTCCCTTGAAGTTGAGATTAGGTGGATGAGAAGCTTAACTAATGCACAGAAGCAGGAACCCAAAAGGGTAAGAAGTGTGAACTCTTTTAAACTTTGGGTGGGTTTTAAGGGGTGGGGGGTAGGGGTAAAGTTGCATCATTCTTTGTTTTGATTGCAGCTGAGTGTTGAGACAGTGCCCTTTATGGGGCGAGTAGAGGGGGGTGCAGAAAAGCAAGTAAAGGTAGGGTTCTTTAATGCAATTTAAAGTTACTTTGGAGGACTCTTTTGTCCTTTTTGTGGTTTCTTTTAGGCTGGACATGAAGGGTAGAGGGCCACACTCTCACATGGGCGTTTACACCAATTTTGATGCTATGCTATACGGTACTTCAAACTTTATCATTGCTACCATTTTTCTATTTCCATCTTATTCTTACTCTTACTATTAGGCCTAATCTTCCTTACATAACTACTTTTTTTTTTCTCACATTTTTAAATTATATCACGAGATATCATGAGTATACTCTAATTGTAGAAAACATATTTAAATCTGTACCATATGTTCAGACAACAATTATATTGTGGACCATGGTCCAAAACGGCAGACACTATAGTGTATCTAAACTGACACTGTCTCATTTTTATATTATCAAATGAAATTGTAGTTGTGTTGAAATGAAACTATAGCGTATACAAAATGAAACTGAATAACAATTTCACATATTTGAGTGTATATTGTCTAATGAAACTGTAGTTATGTTGAAATAGAATTGCAGTGTGTTACACGTGGCTATAATTTTCATTTTCTTTTAATTTTTTTTTTATCTTGCAATTGTAACCAATACCAACATTTTTTTTTGTCTCTATAAATCTTATTAGTTATTTCCATAGCATTGATTAAAGATAGCATTTAGAGCAAGCATCCTATTATTGGTCCAAAATAAAGGGAAAAAATTTAAATTTTCAGCTAATAAGCCTCATCATTATTGGGAACTGCTCAAGGAGTATTATTATTTTAAAAAGCCAAAATGAGAAAATTTACTTATTTAAATGTAAATAGATGCTTGACTAATAAGAAAAATTGACACGTATATAACATGGAGGACACTAGATTAATGAAAAAAATTAACACGTAAATAATATGCAGGATGCATGACTAATGAGATAAATTGACACGTAAATGTCATGTAAGATACTTGATTACTGGAAAAAGCACGTAAATGACATGTAAGATGCTTGATTATTCTGAAAAGTTGACACACAAATAACATAACGAATGCTTGATTAATGAGAAAAATGGACATATAAATAACTTAATAGACGCTTGATTGACGAGGACACATAAATAACATAATGGATGCTTGATTGATGAGAAAAAATGACACGTAAATAACATAACGGACGCTTAATTAATGAGAAAAATTGACATGTAAATAACATAACGGACACTTGATTAATGAGAAAAATTGACATGTAAATAACATGCCGTTACATTACATAGAAAAGTTGACATGTAAATCACATGCAAGATGCTTGATTAATGTTAAAAATTGACACATAAATAACATAACGAATGCTTATTTTAATGAGAAAAATTGACACATAAATAACATAATGGACGCTTGATTGATGAGAAAAACTAACACGTAAATAATATAATGGACACTTAATTAATGAGAAAAATTGACACGTAGATAACATGTTGAACACTTAACTAATAAGAACATCTACATCAGAGGAGAAATGCGGGAGAATTCACTACTTTTGAGGTCAAAATGTCATTGTGGCAGAGAGAGAATCAAGAGAGAGAAGGGGTGGGGAGCATCTGCAAAGGTTGGGATATTACTCTACCCAAGAAAAAGAATTAATGATAGAGGAAAGAGGAGAGAGAACCAACAGAGAAATGACATGCTTATTTTTTATATATTTTTTTTTATAAAATCAGTTTTGATTTTTTTTCCCTTCCCTCCCACATTATTCTCTTTCCTACTCACTCTTACCTTCTCCCCTAATATCCCCAATTGATAGATGCTCTAAGAAAAATTGGCACGTAAATGACATGTTGAACAAATGAACCCACTCATCAATCGTTAAATGACAAAATTTCAATATAATCATATTCGAATACAATACGACATACATACATAATATGAATGGAATTAGCCCAAGTAAAGATGAAATCGACTTAATACTCCATCCGTCCTTAATTAATTGTCCCATTTACTTTTTGCACGGATCTTAATACAATATAACAAATGTTATTAACTTTCTAATTTTACCTCTCAAAAGTAGGTGTTATTTGTACAAAGTACAATTGTACTTATCTTTAGAAATTTAAAAAGTCAAAAGGGTAAATTGAAAATTGTAGAATGATAATTATGTTCAATTTTAGAAAGATGACACTATTTTGGAACAAACTAAGAAGAAAAATAAAACATGTAAAATGAGACGGATGTAGTACTAATAATAAAATTACGCAGATATTTTGGCAAAAAAACAAGAAATGCAACTTGAAACTATGCTTAATCATTGTCCACATAGATAATTCAATTGGTCACAGAGATGAAATTTAAGAATAATGACCTAGAATTGAGTTTCATCTATAACTGTACACAACAAGTAAACAGATGCTCTATCAAGTCGAAACGTTAAAGATCCTAACGATTGGGAATTCAACTTTTTGGAAAGAACAACTATGGTTAATCATAGGATACCAAAACCTTGAAACAGAAAACAGTGTTATAAGATTCAGGTACCTAGGCCAGGCTAGCTATGCAGGCGTACACTACATGTGTTGGCCTTTTCCTTTTTGGGAACTGCTGCACTCTTTTCGTTTTCATATTTATAATTTCTTTTCTTTTAGTGTGATTTGTAATAATAATAATAATAATAATAATAATATTATTATTATTATTATTATTATTATTATTATTATTATTTATTATGTTTACTATTCAGTTCAAATCAACTTTTTTTTTTATTTTCTTAAATATTTAAATTTTATATACTAAAATTAAATTTAATATTATAAAAAGTAAAATTAAAAATAACTCCGATTAAGTCTGGTTAATCGAATCAAACACATGAATTGAAATGAGAGTAATAATTAATAATGAATTGAAATACAAGAGTAATGATTAATAATTTACTGTGCACGAGAACTGAAGTTAATAAATAATAATGAATATTGTGAGCTGGCCTCACCAGTGGCCCAACATTATTGTCTAAACATGGCAATATTTTGGTACCTGTTTTCTTGCTAACAGCAATAAAGTAATTACTCCGTATTATTTAATTAATTATTGGAGTTGCGTATTAAATTCATGATTATTAATGTATCTTGGTCGTAGACAATAGACATCATCGGACTACGTCTCTTGCTGTTTTCTTGTCTCCCTAGCTCCCATCTTTCCACCGGTACGATTTTTCTATCTTGGATAACTTTAATCACATTTTTTTTTTTTTAATTTGAACTGCGAAATTAAGTTTAAATTAATCAAACTTTTATTTAAACTCCATTTTTATTAAGTAATATAATAATTTATGACTGTATGCATTAATACATCAAATGTTAATTATTAAGTATCCTTCAAAGAGTTTTTTTTTTTTTTTTTTTAAAGAAAGTTGACTATGATAATATATTGTTATGTGTATGTAGCTATTCGGGGGTGAAAAATGTGATGGTGACATAAAGGCCAGACAGGCAAACATGTTTTGGATGTATGTATGTTTGTATTATACTATGGATAATGTTACTTATCCCAATTATTTTACGAAATCTCGTCCTAATTAATATGTGTGTATTTGAACTTTTTTTTTTTTTTAAAATTTAAAAAAGGAAAAGAAGAAAGAACTGTATTAATGAATTTGCTTCTACTTTTTCGAAATCCTAGATTCGTCACTGTTTTGTTGTATTTAATTAGTTCGATTTCTTCTCGTAGCCTGAGGGTACAACACTATTTCGTTCCTTATTTGGAAATAGTGGTTTTGGTCATATTTATTTGGTTTAATAAAGTATAATGGAGACTAGTAGAGCTTTA